AATTCGGATCTTATCTTAATTCTTCGACCCTTCTTTTTTTTCTCTATAAATAGATTTCATATCACCCCTTTTCCAATAATTAACAAGCTTGATCATCAAATCCTTCTTTCTTTCTCTCTTTTACACCAAAAATCATTCTCTTCTCTCTCTCCCATATCCTAAGCCTCAAACCTATATTCCTAATTACACCATTCTTCCCTTAAGCACTCAGAAGAGCCTATACTAAACCTGAGGTTTCGTCCTTAAACCAAGGCGTGAAAGGTATAAATAACTGAGGGTTTGGACCAAATTAAATCTATATTTATTTAATTTAATTTTCATTTGCTTTATATTTTTATTGAAGTTACTAACAGTGTATTCATGATGTAGCAATTTAAAGGAACGAGCGGAATGTGAGTAATTAATTAATTTAATTACTCTTATTTTATTTTAATATTGCTAGTATCATGATTAGGGTTATTTTATATTTGATTTGACTAACGCTATTATTGTTAAATTGCTTCCAATATTAATGTTTATTCTATTATTTTTATGATCACTATATTGCATGTTTAAAGGGAATATGTAATTGAAAATCACGCCTAATAAAATAATTTGGACAACCGGTTTAGGTTCCTTTTTAATCTTGTTGTTTAATCAAGTGATCACAATATTTTAGAATACTGTGTTGCATTAATATTAAACCAATTTAGCTTAATAATAGTTTGGAGCGAATTGAATATTTTGTTTGTATGCCTTTGAGATCGCAGAAATCACTTTTCACTATAAGAATCGAGTGAGGTCAATACAGGCGAATGTGACTCCATGACTCACTTCGTACCATCATCCCCGATCCTCCTTTCGTGGTTCCGAACCGTATGGAGTTAGTAATCTCATGGATTATGAATGGGGTGTAACCTTCACGGGTCAATCGTTGTTGCCTTCGTTTTCCCTTTATCGTGGTTGCCTTTTATGATCCGTGAACGGTTTACAAGTTCCTTAAAAACTTGTTGGCGGCTCCCTACTTTCCTTATCCCTAATCATATACGTCAATACCAACTTCCTAAGAGTGCCAAACATATTCACACATGCTTTAACGTAGGCGCACTTCGAGCGACGCCTAAAGCAGCCGACGCCTTGAAAATGGTTGACCCAGCCAAAACTCCGGCTAAGTCAGCAGCGCTGCTGCGCAAAGAAGCTGCTCTTGCAAATAAAGTAGTCGTTGAGGCTAAAGATGCCAAGAAAGGCGGGGTAAGGCCGCCTGACTTTAGTTTTTTTTTTTTTTTTTTTGAAAGGCATTTCGCCGGTTGGGTATGTTTAACTTCTTAATTTGCAGGACTCTGTTAAACACGTTTCACGCTCCTCCTCCAAGCTTTTCAAAAGGCAAGGAGAGGATCTGGAAAAGGACCCGTGTAATACCCAAATATTTTATGATTTTATATACAGTTTATTTTTATTTTTTAAATAACTTTCCTAATCTCATATGTTTATTTTAGAGTTCGAAAAGTTTTAAACCCTAATTTTTTTTTAGCCTAAGTAGGCTCTCTGTTTTCGGAGTCTACACAACCTATATTATGAACCCTTATAATATTTGTTACTCTATGTCAATCCTTTTAATAATTTTGCCTCTATATATCCTTCGTTTTCCATTCCGTATATTATGCAAAAACCCTTATTCATTAGCTTTCCCTCTAATTCATTCCTCTAATATTATTCTTTCATTATGAGACCCTTATATTATAATCAACTAGATATTTTACGAGGCCATCATCATTACATTTGGTGATTGTTGTCAATCTTGGCACAATTAATTTTATCAGCCCATTCGACTTGAAGTTTCGAGTAGTGGTTAATTCTTTTTCAGTTATTAGTGGTGTCTCAATGTTTGGATATTTCTTTTTTCGGAAAGGTAATCACACAAAATCTTCTTGGAGTTGGCTTTGTTATAATTCATCTTATTATGTGTAGGTTTATATAATTTTTATTCATATGATCAATTATTGCATATATTGTTAATATGTTGAGATATATGATTTAATTGTCGTATTATTTTGTTGTATTATTGATTATATTGATTGTGTTATAATTTGAAGGATTTAATGTTGTTGTTATAGGGAGTATTGTTTTATCGAGGTTTTAGGGTTGTTAGTGCAGAGTATTTTTTTTTTGGGTTGAGAATTAATTATTTTTGGGTACTAGTATTAGCCCTATAAGAGTTGAGATACACTACGATTGGATCGAGTTCGAATTATTATATATTTGGGAACATGTGCCAATATTGAGAATTTATTATCATGTGAAAGATTACTTGATCGATGTATGAGATCAAAAGGTTGAGATTATTATTTTGTTATTGGTTTGAGGCTCGGCGTTATAGACCTTAGTCCTTGACTTGTTGGTAATGAAATAATGATCATAAGTTAAGAATGAGGTACAATCTTTATTAATTATTTTTCTATGGTCCCCTACTGTGGGAATTGGCCCGTATGTGGTCTGGTTCAAGGTGTTTTCTGGTTATTGGGAGTATTCAAGTTTTTATACTTGTTGGTTTTATTCGAATTACCCATGTCCAAGGCTAGGTATGAAACAAAGAGCATGACACACTTATGAGTTATATGAGTTAATTGAGTAAAAGTTCGTATTATTATTCAAGGTTGAGTTGATAAAGGTTATTTTCCAGAGTACAATGTGTAATGTAGTTTCGAACTACATTGTTTAAGTGAGTTAATTATATTAATTGTTATATTACTCTTTGTATTCTGATATGTGGTGATTACTCAGCTTTTTGCTGACGTGTGTGTTATTTTGTTGTGCTATTTGTGTTTGCGGCCATGTATTTTTCTTATGGTGGCCCTGCGACGATCTATTTTGGAATTCGTCCTTAATGGTGAGCAGTCAAGATTTTCTAACCAGGTTGATCAAGTGGTCGTAGCTAAAGGAGCTCAAGTGTTTCGATTAGTTTGTTTAACGAGTTTATAAAGTTGTACAAATAGCTCAGTTAGATTTATTGGGTTGTAATTATTATGATTTTGTAAGCCTTAACACTTGACAGGTTGTCGAGTGTGGCGGTAATACCTCTGATTTAGGTGTATGCTTCCGCAATTTTATTTAAAGGTTGTCTATTTTTCCTCTATTTATTGTTTATTATTAGTTAGTAAATCGGGGGTGTTACAACCCGGCTTCCAAGGCCGCTAGGAGGGACCCCCCCAATTCAACTTCTACTTCCAAAACCGATCAACCCACGATCGGTGGAAAATTGCCTTCTACAATGAAAATTCTGAGCGAAAACTCGGAACGCTCGCAGAAGAATGGGCCGAATGCCTCTACGACATCGAAGGGTGGCCCGCCACCTAATGTTGCAGCCGGTGCGGCAACAACTGGGGAGGAGATTCCTGCGCCCCATCCGGATACCCAAGGTAAGGACAAGATTGAAATACCTTGGCCACTTGACTTCATTAGAGTCAAGACTAAGGTAGACCCTTCCGGGGGTTCAGTTAGCAGCCGGCAACGGATGAATGCCAACTATGTTTCTTCTTTCTCACCAAGTACTTCTACTTCTTTTGGTGCAGATCTTACATCCGACGAGCCGGATCTTGTTGGTTTCGCCAAACAGATGGTGAGGACCCTCACCCGGTCGAAGAAAAAATCCATACCTGATCTGCAGGTAGTGGACTTTGACCGGATAATGGGTAAACTAGCTGAGGTAAAGCATCCTCAACTTAATTATGATCTTTTCTTGATTTTTACTAAGTATGTCATAATCCGGCTGCTCTTTTTTCAGGTTATTCTGAGGGTAGATGGGCTCCGAGGCCCCTTCAGGCGGAAGCAAGAAGAGGTAAATGACGTCAAACGGAGGGCCCTTGAAAACCTCAACTCTGCTTAATATGCTAATTATATGTGTGATTTAAAGATTAAAGCAGTAGAGTTGAAACAAGAGGAGCTGATCAGGAGCTTGACTGCTGCAAATGATGAAGCCACCAGCCAGGCTAATGACCTTGAGCAAAAACCGAAGGATGCTTAATCTGAACTCAAGGCATTAGAGGATGCTGACAAGGAGAACACAAAACTCCGGGCAGACGTCTCACGACTGGGGGTGAAGATCGTCAATCTGCGGAACAAGCAGTCAGATGAGATTGCCCAGGAATAGAAGTGGCTGATGGAAGAGAATGAGCGGGACAATGCAGCCCGCCTGAATATCACTTGGGGTCTCCTCTATCCGGATATAGACTTTGAAGTCTATAAACTTAGGTATGATTACGCCACTAAGGTGTATGATGCCCAAGTGTTGGGAGAGGCAGCTCCGCCTCGCTTCAAAGATTGAGTTGCAGAGCTGGGATATGAAGTCTTAGATAATGAGGAGCAGGGGGAGGAAAAGAAAAATGAAGGCAGCCAGACTCAAGTGGCCGACGACCAAACAGAAACCCTCCCAGCCGGTGAGAACCAGCCGGGGCAGCAGCTTCCCCCTCAGCCTTAAATCAGCCTCCCCAAACTCAGCGGCAATATGCCAACTTCTCTCTTTTCCGGCTTGTATGCCGAGTAATGTTGTATGCCTTAAATTGCCACAATTTGTTTCTTTTGCTTCTTCACCGGATGTGATTCCAGTTAACAATTATTATGGCCTTTGTGCCATTTTCAATATTAATGAAGTAATCCGACTCAGTCGATTGTTTATATATGTTTTTGTTGTTTGAATTTTTTCAATTTGAATTTTGCATATATACTGCAATTCTTTAATATTTTGCCTAACTTTTTAAAGCATGCGGCAATTTTCAATCCGGCTACTCTTGCCCCTAAACGGCTGTGTGGTTGGTTTTATTTCAAATTGATTGATTGGCTTGAAAACATACACTTGATATTTGCACTAGTATCACAAGTACATAATTGAGTTTATGTAACACGTGTTGGTATCACTTTTTGAAATGTGAAGTTATTAGATTTATAAGTAACACTTTAGTAACATTCTTGTAGAATGTAACACTCATTGTAACACTTTTTGCATAAGTAACACTATAATGTATCAGTTTTAAAATAAGTATCATTTGTTAGTAACACTAATAGGTGTTATGTTTTTTTATTTAAAAAAAAAAGAAAAAACATTTACGACTTAAAAACTGACTAATCCCCAATTTACCAATCTACGCCTCAAATCATTCTGTCTCTCTATCAACACTCTTCTCCTCCCATCGTTTTAATCTCATCTCTTTCCTCAATTGATGTGCACACTCTAAATCCTCCATTGAAGCGAATTCTTAACTTTCTTTCCTCCTTTGAAGCAGCTTCTAAGGTATGATGTATATTGTAATTTGTAACAATCGAATATCAATTCCATAATCTGGGGTTTATCATTAGTTTAATTTTCCATTTAGTTAATTTAGGGTTCTTATAAGCTAGATTATAATTATAATAAACAATTGAAATGGTGAATTCCAGGTGCAAATTCATCAGCTATTTTCTCTCTTAGTCTCTCTAAACTTTGTTCTGCTTCTTCATCAGATCAATTTTTAAACATCATCTGCTATCATTGCGTTGTTCTGCTATTTTTGTGCACTTTTGTCATTGTGCGTCCAAGTTCAGGTATTTTCTGATTTGTGATTTCAAGAATCTAATAATTATTACAATCTAGATTATCGCTATTTTTTAATTGGATTTTGAACGGTTATTGGCTTTGTGTTTAAAGTAGTGTTAATTCTTTTTAAATTTTATTTTGTGAGTTCTTGATCGGTAATTGGAGTTTGGATTGTTGATTCTGAATTTGTGTGTTTTGGTTTTGTATTTAATGTTTTCTCAAAATTAGATATTGTAAGTAGGAAAAGGTCTCTAATTGAAGTGCAGAGTGTGTAGGACTTGGGAAATTATATCAACATTTGTTTTAAAGGACTATGAAAAGTTAAAAAAAAAAAAAAGGCTTTGATGTATGAGAAAGTGTTAATATGCAGGCAGCAGGTTAATTACATTAGGAGGCGGATTCAATAACAACACGCTTTATTAGATCTAACTTAGATTGAAAATTGGACAAAGTCTATTTAATAGTTTTCAAATCTTTTGAATACATAATACACATTTATCATACTCCCTCCGTCCTCGAAAGAACGACCCTTTTGGGTTGATTTTGCGAGTATTAAGAAAGTTAAATAAAAAGAAGTAAAAATATATTAGAAACATAAATTTATACGGGGTTTGTAAAAAAAAATATAAAGAGAGAGTTATATAATTATATGGAAAAACAAAATTTTATATGGAGAAGCTAGTTTTGCACAAATATTGATGCAAATTGGTAGGTATTTTTAATGAAAATGGGTCGATCATTTTGGGAATAAATTTAGGCCAAAAGGGTCGAACTTTTGGGGACGGAGGTAGTAACAAATAGTATTATGTCATAAGTAAAACAAACTCACACTTATTTTTATATCAAAATTGCAATCAATCTTAAGATGTTGATTGTTTTAAGTGGAAGATTTAGTCCTTGAAATGTATCTAAAACTATATTTTGCAAAACGAAGAATGAGAAGTTAGGTTAGGAGTTGTTAGTTGATTAAATAGGTAACAAAATGCATGTAATAATTCAGGGTTCTTTCACCATCTTTTAGTTTAAACTTTTACGATGCAACATTGATATATACATATTTAACTTTTATTTTGTGAGTGCCAATTTTGGAGCCATTGTTACCCTTGAGATAATAGTTAACTTCCTTCTTTGACCTCATAGTTTTTTATCTTCACTAACTAAAACCAACTTGCCACTGCAAAATGCTTCTCTACATAGCAATATGAATCCAAATAATGATCTAAAATGTGTTTTTTTTTCCAATCATGTGGCCTAATTTTGACTTGTTCACAATACTAATAAAGCTTATGAGTGAAAATTAATGGGATAGAAGGTTGATCATGTGGTAATTGCTTTTAACTTCCAGTAATATAGTGAAGTTATGATCAATGTTCAGTAGAGATACTTGTAAGAATTATTGGTAGTTTTGCTTTCCCTATTTCTTTTTTATTGGTGCATAGATTTAATTCTTAGTTTCTTGAAAGAGCTGCTGTTACTGAAGTTTGATCACGAGGATGCTTTATTTTAATTAGGTCTATTTTTCATTTGTCTAATATATTAGAAGTTGGCTATTTAGCGTTTTTTTTCTTCAGAATGTCTACAATTTACTTGATGCTATGTAAGAGGGCAAATCGTTTATGCGTTTGAACAGTGAATCCCTTTTTTTGATGATTTAAAAAGAACTAAAAAATACCGCCACAAAAGGTACTTCTGTTTTCTTTCTTTACTTGTTCATTCCTCGTGCATTGGTACCTCTCTTATGTTTGACTAGCAAGCTAAACATTACTGGTTCATGATTGATAAGTGGTTTATTTGTCCACTTATTGTGGTAATCCTAACCGCTTTTATAATCATTTCTCCTACTTTTCTCCTCTCTCTTAACTCTCTTGTATATAGTTGTATTTTGGCATTGCTGCTTTTTTTGTGTGTGTTTGTGTTCATGCTTGTAGGAATAAGAAGATTTGACAAGCTTGCAAAGAAAGTTGAGGAAGATGATAAAAAGGAGAGGATGTTGTGAACCTCCCTAGGAGCAGCCACTCCTGCCCCATGCACCACAAACTGCATCATCCACAACAATAAGAGCGGGCTGCTGCTACTGCTGTTGTTACTGATGTTTTGCTGCTGCTGTTTACTGCCACTGATGTCTGTTGCTGACTCCTGCTACTGTTGTTTGCTGCCACTGCTGGTTGCTGCCACCGCTGTCTGCTACTGCTGTTTGTTGCCACTGCTAGTTGCTGCCACCGGTGTCTGCTACTGCTGTTTGGTGCTATATACTGCTGCTCGTAGCTTATGTTGCTACTGCTGTTGTTCTGCTAGCTATCTGCTGTTCACCGCTATCACCGACTAATTTTTGAAAATTTGAAGTTTTCTTATTTCCTCACTCTTTCTATGCTAGAGATCGAAGTTGATTTTCTTTTTTTTTGGATTATTATATTGTTGGGCCAAACATTAAAATATGTGTATGGATTTTTTTTTTTTTGTAAGAACTATGAAATTATTTCAATCCAAATTGATGTCTATCATATATGTAATTTCTCATTCATATAGTTGTTGTAGATGATAATAATAATAATAATAATAATAATAATAATAATAATAATAATAATAATATTATTATTATTATTATTATTATTATTATTATTATTATTAAATGTTACCTATTAATAAATAAGGTGTTACAAGTTGTTACATTAGTTTGTAAAAAGTGATGCATAATGTCAAAGAAAGAGTTATTACATGTTAAAAGATAATTGAAAAATGTTACCTAATAATCAACAAAGTGTTACATTAGTTTGAAAAAGTGTGATACTTAATGTCGGAAAAAATGATACTATATGATTGAAAAATGTTACTAAAGATAAGTAAGTGTTACGTAAGAAATAAAAAGTAACACTTTAAAAATGATACTTATAATATAAAAAGTGTTACATAAGAGGATTTATAGTAACACTTTTGAAAGTATTACCATACGTTACCCAAAGTGTTACATAAGATCTTAGGTAACATGGGCGGAAGTATCACCCAATAAACTGTTACCTAATGTCTATAATAACACTTTTACCACTTTATGTAACACTTTTTGGGTGTTACTTGAGGCTAGTTTTGTACTAGTGTATATGAGGTGTTTTTTGGCCAATCAATCACAATGGTGATTGCCCAGAACCAAGTGCAGAGCCGGCCATTAGAACGGGTGCTTCTAGCCTCTTACCCAGGCGGTAATATTCTGTCTGGTTATTTCATAGCCATTATACAAACTCTTTTATCCCAATTGGGAGAGAGAGTGCAACTTTGGAATAAATAATCTAAGTGAAAACTTCAGCCGGTAACCGACTGATGCCTCAGGGCATCCGGTATTCGGGTATTTAATCGTTCTCGTAGATTATTCTGGTCGGACGGCTATGAGTTGACCAATTTGGTCGTTCAATCTTTGCCGTCTGCATAAGTACGTAGAACTGACGAAGAGTCTTCTCTCTGCAACGATTGCACCCGGAGGGGTGTCGCCGGACGCCATTATCCATATCGGGACAGGCGGTTTTGTAAAATAAGCAACCATCCGACCATTAGCCTTTGGTCTTGTTTGAGACCGATTGTATAGCTACTAAGCGTTTTTGTGCCTAGTTTTTTATCTGTCCATTGGCCGCGTGTTATTTTAATATTGAATTTTACACTAAGTATCGAACTTAGTTGGTTAAGCAAATAATCCGTCTGAGTTTTACCCAGGCGGACAAGCAATTATAACATTAAAATACACTATAAAATTTAGTTAGTTAAACAAATAGTCCGTCTGAGTATTACCCAGGCGGACCAGTGATTATAACATTAAATTGCACCAAGTATCAAACTTAGTTAGTTAGGAAAAAGTTTCGTCTGAGTATTACCCAGGCGGATAACTAATTATAAAGATAACAAAACAATTTTGGAAACAAAGCTTGATTTCCCATTGATAGACTCGCTGTTTACAAAAAATTTACATTTCTCAGAAGTAGTACTTTTTAAAGTTATCTACATTCCAAGTTCGAGGTAGGCGTCTGCCTTCTGGAGTTTCCAGACGGCAGTTGTCCGGATGGCCCATAGGACATGAATAAGCTCTTCTGCCCATAAGCTACCGGCTCTTTTAATTTTCTTTTTTATGCCATCTGAGATAAGCTTGTTGAAGGCTTCAACTTAGCCGTTTGCTTGGGGTCGGCCGACTGATGCAAAAAAATGTGAGATACCCTGATCTCCCAACCAAGTCTTAAGGTGAGGCATTTCAAAATGAGGGCCATTATCAAACACCATAGACATAGGTACCCCAAACCGGGTGATGATGTTTTTCCAAATGAAAGAGATGACATCCTTTGTCTTGATGTTTGTGACTGGCTCAGCCTTTACCCATTTGGTAAAATAATCCACAACCACCAAAATATAACGCTTTCCGCCTGGAGCAGGCATATAAGGACCCAAGATATCCATGCCCCACTTAGCAAACGGGACTGGGCTGTGGATTGCCGTCAAATCAGTAGTAGGGCGGTGAATAAGCTTGCCAAACCTCTGGCATTTGTCACACCACTTCACCAAATCTTTAGCGTCTGCTTCAAGAGAGGGCGAAAAGTAATGTCGCGTGGCTCTGACGGCTAGGGACCTGCCGCCTATATGAGAGGCGCAGTATCCAGCATGCAATTCTTCAAGAACTTCTTTCCCCTTTTCTGGGGTAACACACTTCAATAGAGGTTTAAGAAAACCCGCATTGAAGAGTTCTCCATTTCTCATCTCAAAGTTTGTTGCTCGCTTCTTCATGACAGCCGCCTCCTGTGGTGAATTAGGAAGTGTGCCGTCTGCTAAATATGCCCGGATGCCATCCATCTAGGTAGAGCTTCGGTCCAGGTTTCCAATGGGCTCTTCATATATGCTTCTTTTTTCCCCAAAAGACTGACCGAGGCGTATCACAGCAGGCGGAAGATGCCAATTTGGACAATGCATCCGCCTGGTTGTTATCTGACCTAGGCACTTGACTTAGACGGAACTCCTCAAGTGCCCCGACCTCTTCTTTGACTGCCCGAAGATACTTGATCATAGCCAGGTGAATTGCCTCATATTTTCCCTTAAACTAGCTTACGACCAACTGTGAATCAGAGTAGGCATCAATTTTGGTTGCCCCTGCTGCCCTACACGTGCGGATTCCGGCTAGCAGGGCTTCATACGCAGCCTCGTTATTTGAGGCTTGGAACTTAAACCGCATTGCATATTCAAATTGTCCCCCTCAGGGGAGTCATATATAATTCCTGCACCGCAACCGTTCTTCGTCGAGCTCCCGTCTACATACACTTTCCAAACCTGATCAATGTTATCCGGTGATTCCGGTCGTGTCATTTCAACAATGAAGTCGGCAAACGCCTGACCTTTCACTGCCTTTCTGGGTTCAAAAGTGATTTCAAGACTTTGCATTTCAATAGCCCATTTCAACATTCTACCAGATGACTCCAAGGTAGACATTGGCCGCTTAAGGGGATGATCGGTGTAAATTACCACCGGATGAGCCAGAAGTACGAATTTAATTTCTTGAAGGCCATATATAGAGCAAGGCCAAATTTTTCAACCATGGGGTAGCGGTGTTCAGCATTTTTTAACACATGACTAATGAAATAGACCGGGAGCTGGATGCCGTCTCTCTTAGCAAGGAGAACAGCACTGAGAGCATGATTTGAGACGGCTAGGTACATGTATAACGTCTCTTTGAGAAGAGGGCTAACAAGCCTTGGCAAAGAGTGCAAATGTTCTTTCAGCTTTTGAAAGGTCGCCTCAGCATCGTCCCCCCATTGAAATCTGGTCTTCTTCCTGATTGCTTGGAAGAAGTAAAAGCATTTGTCACCTGACCGGATGAGGAACCTCCCCAATGCCGCCAGGCAACCGGTTAGTCTCTATGCTTCCTTGACATTGCTGGGTGACTTCATGTCAATTACCGCCTGTATCTTCTCGGGGTTAGCCTCTATCCCCCTTTGATCAATCAGGAATCCGAGAAACATCCCAAACTAACCACCAAAGACGTATTTCTTAGGATTTAACATAACCTTATGCCGCCTGAGTGTGGTGAAGGTTTCTCGGAGATCAATAAGGTGACCCGCCTGCTGCTTGGATTTGACTATCATATCATCAATTTACGCCTCCACATTCCACCCAATTTGATTAATGAAGACCGTATTAATCATCCGTTGGAATGTAGCCGACGCATTTTTCAAGCCAAACGACATCACCGTGTAACAGAATAACCCCTGATCTGTGACAAAGGTCGTCTTCTCTTGATCTTTTTTTCACAGGGGTATCTGATGGAAGCCGGAGTAGGCATCCATGAAACTCATCAAGGCATGCCCGGCTGTTGAATCGACCAGACTGTCGATCTTTGGGAGCGGATTACTATCCTTGGGACATGCCTTGTTGAGATATGTGTAATCAACACACATACGCCAGGTACCATTCGGCTTCTTTACAAGCACAACATTCGCCACCCATTCGGGGAAATTACATGGCCGAATGAACCTGGCTTCCAGCATCTTTTTTACTTCAGCAGCTGCCGCTTGACTTCTTTCCTCGCCGTGGTTTCTTTTCTTTTGTCGGATGGGATTCTTTTTTGGATCCACGGCGAGTTTGTGGACAACAAGATCCGGGCTGACGCTTGGCATCTCTTCCACTTCAAAGGCAAAAATGTCTTTGAATTCTTTCAGCAATAGGTGTAGGTCTGCACCCAGCTTAGCATAAGCAATCGTCCCAACCTTAACAGTACGCTTTGGACGGCTGTCATCCAGAGGTATATCAATATGGTCTCCAGCCAGCTGGGGACGGAGCTCATCCGACCGTTCCCCGGTCAGTGATTGCTATTTTTTCTCTTTCTTCACCTCCACTAGCAAAGGTGCCTTTCTTTTCTTCCCGACTGCTGGTGGGGCTGAGGCGGCATTCCTGACATTGTCAAGGTCTATTGGTTCCTGGCCTTCGCCGTCTGGGGCCACAGTATCCTTCACGGCTGAGAGGTAACACTCCCGGGCCATCTTTTTATCCCCGTTAAAGGAACCAACAGAGCCATCATCCCTCTCATACTTGATGAGCATGAGAGAAGGAATAATTACAGCCTTGGCTTCGTTAAGGATGAGCTGGCTTAGGATAATGTTATAGGCGGTCAACTCCTCAACGACCAAGAATTTGACGACCAGGTGTCGTCCTTTTCCTTTTTCTCCCAGCCGGATTGGTAGATCAATCCTACCGACTGGGTAAACCATTCCACCCCCAAAGCCAACCAAGGGGTGGGTTAACGGATGCATGATGCTGAGGTTGTATTTCAGCTTTTGCAAACACCGGAGACTGATGATGTCCGACGAGCTGCCGGTGTCAATAAGGATTCGTCCAACCAGCTGGTTGGCGACCTTACATTCAATGACGACCGGGTCGTCATGCGGACGACGGATAGTGCCCCTATCCTTCTCAGTTATCAGAACGTCTGGGAAGGAAGAAATTCCTGCCGCCTGATCATCATCATCATCATTGTCCATCTTTCTAAG